ACTAGTGTATGTGACCTCTTGAAGAATCTGCACCAATCATGCCTTAAAACAGAAGTGTTACATGATTTTCTTAGGGCAGCTGTAGCATAATATCCGAAAAAATCATGGTAGTGTTGCTTTTCTGTGTTATGCTCATTGTCGAAGGCTTATCCACACTTGTATTTTAGAGAAGCGTGCCATTATTGCCATGAGGAGAGATGGTGTTAATCTGTCCATCATTATTCTAGCCATCAAATTTCTATCGACTGCTTGATAGGCATCTGTACTGTCCCAGCAACCGAAATACAGGTGCCAGTTTCCTGCTACTCAAGGAGGCTTAAGTCTTCCATTCCTGACTAGAGATCATGAGTTCCCAAAGTAGTAAGCAAGGATTTGCCAGATACGAATTTTTGCACGCGCATGTGTGTGTGTGTGTGTGTGTGTGAGAGAGAGAGAGAAAGAGAGAAGGAGAGAGAGATTTGTTCCACTTGGGTTCATTTGCTCTGTGAGCTCACTCCCTCACCTGTGAAGTTCTACTTTTGTTTACTTAAGTAAGTTTGCTTCTTCTTTGTCTTCAGTCTCTTCAAATCTGCTAGATTAGCATGTTGGCAATAGGCCTAATTTACCTTATTTGTAACTTTTTTGCATCTGGCTGCGCCTTTCAATTTTGTTTTCCTGGACCTTAGAGCACCAGTCATTTTATCATGAATTCATGATATTGTGAATTATTTTAATTTCTTAGTACATGTTTTCTATTACAGTATGATTCTCAACACTGTAGTTTTTGGATGTTCATTGTACCTCTATGGGGGAAAAGCTAATGTACTCAGCCAGTAGTTTTCTGAGTAGGTATCTCATTGCAGTGTATTGCACTTGACTCTATTTGGGAGTGTAGTTGAGTCCCAAAAGCATATTGGGATCTTAAATGCCCACATTATCCCCACTATCCAACAAAAATAAGGAGAAATTTAGAGATGAATAGAAGACTGACTTTCTTGCAAGCACTTATTGGCTAGTGGTGAAGTGTGGCTAGGAGTTTCTCAGTGTGGAAAGAGGAAGAAAAGGAGCCTCCCCTTATCTGGCTTTCTCACACTCACACATTTATATTTTACATGTTTATTGACTATGATATTCATGTTTTTACTTAGCACTGGGCCTTTAGTATCTGGTAAAGTCCTACTTCTTACACAGTACAGGTTAATAATACAGTATACGTAGAGTAAGATCCTAAAAAGTAGTTGACTGACCCTCCGGTAATTTATTTGTAATTACATTTATGTGTATCTTTTCCTGGTTTTGATTTATGGGATGAGAGAGACCTGTGGTAAATTCAACACACCAGAACAGAAATTTTAAACTAGTTCGAACTTACTCGTTTCTCCTCGCTTTTCCTTTTGTGTTCACTTATGGTTTGGAGGGGATGGGGGCCATGGTGCTTCCTGGAGATGGTGGTTCCTCATTTTCAGAAGACTCTTTTTGGGTTAGAGCAAAGTTAGAATAGCCATGATATTTCCACATACTGAAATTTGTGATGTCAATCCAAATCTTTTCCTTTTGAAATCTAATATAAAATGAAATTAGCAATGTGATATTAAAAAATAATAATCCGCTTGAAAAAGTAGTGTGTCCACCAACGGAGCTTATTAGTAGAATTGAGTTATTTTTTCAATTTTCTTTTAATATTTATTTTTGAGAGAGAGCTAGCGAGCATCAAGGGCGAGAAGGGGAGGGGCAGGGAGAAGAGAAAGACACAGAATCCAAAGCAGGCTCCAGGCTCCAAACTGTCAGCACAGAACCTGACATGGGGCTCAAACCCACGAACCATGAGATCATGACTTGAGCTGCAGTCGGACGCCTAATTGACTGAGCCACCCAGGTGCCCCTAGAATTGAGTTACTTGAATTTGTTTGTATAATGGCAAAAACTTCGTAAGAAAAGCACATAGAATGAGATTGGAGCCACCTACTGGCTTATAAAACAATAATATGTATCCTAAAAAATAGATTCCAAGCAAGTAAGAAAAATCGAAGTCAGTAACGGTTGAAACAAAAGTTTCCACTCAAAGATTGCTATGTTAAAGCTGTTCTTAAAGAGTTTATTAGTTTATGCTTTGGAAAGTTTGTGTATATTTTCAAGTCGTATACCTTCATCTATTAGGAAGCTAATATTAGAAACCATCTATTAGAAAGTGATATACTTTCTTATTTGACCAGATTTCCTAGCTTTTGTATCTTCTAAGACCTTGGATTACTGTTATATTTTTTTGTTTTGTTTTTTAAACATTGAATCCAGTGAAATTCTTCACAGTATGCAGTGCTTCTGACTCTAGTAAATTGGGTCTTACTCTACAGCATAAATAATTATAAATAGATATTAATACAGAATAGGTGCGCCTCACTTGATACCTAACGGCATTTCTGCATTTTTCCTATTCTGCAGGATTTTGCTGGTTTCTCTTTGGTTTTATGTGTCTCCTCTTCTAGACTTTACTGTGTTACCATAAGACCCAGAAAATAATAAAAACATCTTTTGTTGGCCAAAGGCCTGGTGTTGCACTTTGGCTCCTGCTCCGTTTTGCAGGTGACCTTTCTGGGTGTCGTGAGCTTCCCTGTGAGGGCTGTTGAAGCTGTTTGCACTTCCAGTGAATTTGTTCCCCATCTGTGATGAGGTTAGAATCATTTAAGCTTATGGAAATTCCAAGAAGCCAAGGATGGCTGATCAATCCCTCAGAGTTTCTAGAAGTTCTTGTTTTAGATACAGTCTGAATTTTTAAGTTCTGGTAATCTTGTCTCCATGTCCCGACTTACACTTTCCTGTGTGTCCGTCTTAAGTTGATGAGATAAAGTGAGGCATTATTCAAGCCTTGCTTCCATTTTAGGGGGTAGCTTTTATTCATGCTGGCATTGTTGTGCAACCAAATCTGGAGATGTTATTATGACCTTTTCGTGTCCCATGATATCTAGACATTTGCTCCCACTTCACAAGAGTAATGAAGCACGATTTCTAGATGTGACATTGTTGCACCCAGCTGTCCAGGGATTAGCAAGTCAACTGAAGTCTCTTGTTTTTATTTCCTCAATCTACAAAATATTATAGTGGAACTAGATTATTTCTTGGGCTCTCATTCACTGTAATTTTCCTATGCATCTGTGTTGAGTCTGTAGAGATAGCTGTGAAGGTAAACAATGATCTCTTAATTGTCTCTTGTGTTACTGTTATTTCTATTTGCCTTTTTCATTGGGTTTCCTTTTCCTGATGTGATTATATTGTCACCACTAAAAAGAGGAAAGATGATTTCCCATTGTTAAAATGCTGTAGTTAGCAGTAGGATACCAAGCTCTCCCACCTCTTTGCCAGCTTACATTTTTATTCCTCAAGAATATCGATTAAATGTGCATCGAACCCTTACTATGTAGCAGACTGGTGCCATGCACCATTCACTCATGGCAATAAGTGAAATAATTGCTGCCCTCAAGGAGCTTTCACTATAGTGACTTTTTGGTTTGGTGACCGTCTGATCCCCTCATCCCTGCTAATATCTCTGTAGGTTCTGGCATATTCTTATATCTTTATTTCTAGGAGAGTTAGCCTAAGCCAAGTCAACTTCTTTATGCCCTTGCTTGGTAATGATAGTAAATTTCTGTGCTCTTTTAGGGTCAGCAAAGTACATATAGGTGATTTTGTAAAGATGACATATACATCTTTTAGGATGTAATATATTTCTAAATGATGAGAAATTAATTCTTTCAGTGGGTCACTACTTGTAGGACAGTAGTCATAAATGGATGAAGCCCTGGTTGTGCTTGACACTTTTAGAGAGACTTTGAAGTTAAAGAGGAACCTTTAAATCTACTGAGAATGGTTCTTAGAATAATTTAGGAGGCAGTGTGGGTGTTTTGTATCCTTGAAAACTCTTTGAATGGCAACTTTATACTGGATTATATTTAACTTCCCCTTACTCAGCTGTTTGTGAAAGACCACGAATTGTTAGGTTCTTGAATTAAGAAGACTCAAGTCCCACCACACTCTGGTTTTATACACCTTTGCCTCTGTAAGATGTTGGAGGAGAAAGTGTCATTTCAGAAATATTGTTTCTCTAGCCATCTAAGTTCACAAGTGCCAACCAGCTGGCACTTTTGTGGCTTCATATTTGTAAATATATTCCTGGTTTTTCACTAGGTGTCTGGTGTAGTAGAGGCAAAGACCTTATAAATTTACTTCATTATGTCCAAAAAATAATCCAAGAGACATATTTATGCATGTGTAGTTCCATGGTTCCTGTTACATTGGGTGAGAAAGGTACAGTAAAAGAATTTTATACAACAACAGATTTAATTTTACTTGAAATGTAATTTTATTGTTCTTTCTTTTCTTTTTTTTTTTCCAAATGTCTTTTATTTATTTCTGAGAGAGAGGGACAGCATAAGCAGGAAAAGGTCAGAGAGAGAGGGAGGCACAGAATCCGAAGCAGGCTCCAGGCTCTGAGCTAGCTGTCAGCACAGAGCCCGATGCGGGGCTTGAACCCACGAACTATGAGCCACCCAGGCACCCCTTATTGTTCTTTCAATATTAGTATTAGTTTTTCCATTCGTGTAAGTGAACTTGGGAGGTCCGCTTAAAGAAATTCAAACTTCTTTTTAAGAAATAGTTTCGTTTTAATTTCACGTAATTTTGCTGTGAATATATTTTACAACACTTGTACTAGAGCCCTTATGTTAGTCTCAAATTCCATCACAGCAGTGATTCTTAAAGACCATTAATGTAGTATAAATCTGCGCTTTTGTTGAGTAAAATGATTTGTCATAATCAGGCCATTATTGTCATATTCTAACACCATTTCTGAGATGTCTTGTTATGTGAAAAAAAAAGATAATGACAGTGATACTGATGATGGGGATATATAATACAGGCACAATGGGTATGTCTGTAGATACCTTATCTTTTATGGGTTTTGATCTTGTTCATAATAAGGCTGCCATGATTACGTAATCCAACCTTTTTATCTCTCTTTAAATACATAGGGATGTGAGATTATTTCAACACCTGACCAAGACCACACTGACTTCACCAAGTGCCTTGAACTGCTCCTAAAAAAGATTGAAGAAAAAGACCTACAGGTAAGATACGCACCTCTTTGGCGGCCAAGAGTCTTAGTACCAAGGATGTGAAAGGTCCTGCTTAAACTTTTCACTCACCTGAAGTGATCGGTGACTTTTGTGCCAGTCTTTTCGGTTCCCTGGAAGATTTTGCCCGTACACTGAATAAATCTGTACTTAGCTGCCAAAGAATTAACGTGCGCGATTAAATCAGAGGTCCCAGACTCAAATCCTTTACGTGGGAAAGTCACACAAGGGGCGAGGTGGACATTGTGTAAAGCAACTGAAAATGGTAGTTCATTGTTGGCCTAAAATAAGTCGCCACCTTTCGTCTCTTGTTCATTGCTGCCAGGCAGACCTATATGTGTTTTCTTTTTATACGTGTGTTCAGCTGTTGTGGGGGCAAAGCATGCAAACAAATATGGCCTGTATTTGGCCCAGGAGGCATCCTTACAAACTCTCATATATAAATAAAATATCATCAGCTCTTCCATTTTGAAATCAGAGAAGAGTCCGCTGTTTTGCATTTGTGGACTCTTTAAGGTATTCCGTAAGGATTTTGACCTTGCATGCCAGCATTTAATCACATTCTTTAGCTAATACCCAAGTTTGTATTTTATAATTTTTTTGGTACTTGAAATGGTGTGCAAAATATATTTTAAGTCTGTGTTTAGTGAAGGTCAACAAAATTAAACCCAAAGTCTTGAATGACAGTTGACTGTTCTTTTACTGGCGGGGGCAAGAACGTCAGCTGAGGTGCATGATCAGATGTGTGGTTTTAATTTAAGAAAACTAGCAAAACACCACCGAACATTAAAAAGCTTTTGATAGTACAAGTAACGGGAGATGCATTTCAACCTGGCCTCGAGGGTCCAGTGGGATAAGTCAGGCTTCAGGCACAAGTCATTGGGATGTCATGTCTGTTTCTCTGTTTCCTCGATTGTCTGAGCTCTTTTGTAGGTTTTGTCTTTAGCCTGGTTTCCCTGATTGCTTTCACTGGCCACTTGAAGCAACTTCTGACCCCTCATGTCAAGGGGAATTAAGGGAGCAGGGACATCATTTGCTATCATCATGAAACTCTAGTCCTGAGGTCTCTGCATAAGGCCACTCTTGCTGAGGGCCACAGAGGATGAGAGTAACCTGACCGTCTTGGACTGAGGCGGGCTGGGGAACCTTCCATGTGTCCCCTGCAAACCGCACGATGAACTCACATGTGGCCGGACAGGGTAGGGGTTGGAGAGGCAGCCCTGAGAAAAACTTACTCCCCCACAGGAGGTTATCAAAGATTTCTTTGAGCATATATTTGCTAAGGTGACATAGTAGATCCTTTTCTCTCTGAAGACAAGCCTTGTTAATGATCATAATGGACAAGGAGCACATTGTGCAAACGGAACAAAAGTAATTGGGGGAGCACTTCCCATCTCTGGTGTAGCTTGAAAGATACCAAATGTATTGTGCTATTTCTAGCAATAAATTGCTATAATTAAATATTTGCGTAATGAAAACAGAGCACAGCCCATTGAGAGTTCCAATGAAGCCCATTGCTTCATCCAGACATAGCTGAGGTTGAGTTTCTTAGGGGAAAAAAATGGTAAAGATCTTCACAACTTGTTTTCAGTTTTCCCAGCATCAACACTGAAATTATCGAAAGCTGGGAATGCAGTTATGTGTGTCAAATTGATAGTATTTGTAATATAGTACTCGGTCGTTAAGTCTGAACATAAATAATCATATCTCAAACTCAACAACACTGAAATTCAGAGAGAGCTTCAAGCTGGGGAAAGAGGGTCATCAGCTGCATATGGTCCGTGAAACAGATCTGAGAAAGTCTCGGTGGACCCAGTGGGAGGGCGGAAGCGGGAGGACCGGGCAGAGGAGTCCTGCATGGGGCGGAAAGGGCCAGACCCTCCCACTCCCACTGCGCTCAGTCTCTGGCGGGAAGCTCTCAGGGAGGGCTGCGGCCTTGGTGGTGCTGGGTACTGCATCCCGAAGGAGTTGCCTCGGGGCCATGACAGCCGCTGCCCCCCCCTCCCAGCCCCAGCGAGTTTTTTTTTCTGGGAGAAAAAGGAGCAGTGAGCTTCCACTGCTGCCCCTGGACCCTGGCGTGATTTAGGCCCAATGCATTGTCCAGCCCATCTTGTCCTCCTTTTTCTCTTTACTCCAAAATGTGTCCTGTTCCCTCTTCTTCTCTGCTTTGAGTGATTTGTGCGTATGTTGCCTCTTCTGTCTAGAATTTTTTTTAAATGTTTGTTTATTTTTGGGAGAGAGAGATTGACAGAGTATGAGCAGGGGAAGAGCAGAGAGAGAGGGAGATGCAGAATCCAAAGCAGACTCCATTGCCTGAGCTGTCAGCACAGAACCCAACTTGGGGCTTGAACCCATGAGCCACAAGATCATGACCTGAACTGAAATCAGATGCCCAGCCAACTGAGCCACCCACATGCCCCTCTGCCTAGATATGTTTGCACATTTTAATGTTTTTCAGATGTTTCCTTCTCTTTGCCTATACCATGATGGCAGAAGAGGTGATGTCCTTAAAGAGGCCTCCTCTTGCCCATCCCTCCAGATAAGGGTCTGTCACTCTAGGTTTCTGTACCCCCTTTTTCTCCTTTGAGACACTCTGAGCACCTCTAATAATTTTGTTGGTTATTTCTAACCGTTGGCTCGAAGCCTTTCTTCCAAGCTTTGCTGTAACAACCCACGAAGCTGGGACAGATCTGTCTTGCTCATGACTGAACAGCAGCACCTTGAGTGTAAGAAGTGCCCTGTGAACGTGAGCGTGTGTTGCGCACTGTAGGAATGCACAGGAGAGTTGAGCACCACACAGGGAGGGAAGGGCTTTTTAGAGAAGGCCAGACATCATAAACAGGTACAGGTGGGTGGCAGAGGAAGAAAGACAAAGAAGACACCTGAGCGAGGGGAGGGTGGAGAGGGGAGGATGGAGAGCAACAGCGTGGGGGGATGGAGAGGGGAGGATGGAGAGCAGCGGCGTGGGGGGATGGAGAGAGGAGGGTGTTTGGAGTGTTTTCAGATGGACAGTAGGTATGATGAGTTTGGTGTTTTAAGAAGCATAATTGGATAAACTGGAGGCTCCATTACTCACAATGAAAGCCTTGTGGTTTCATTAATATAACCTTCAGTTATAGTAAATCTGACAAAATGGGGTATCTGAGTTTCCACCTGACTTTACATTTAACTTCAAAGTACATCGTTTTATGTGACTTAAAGTAATAGCAAGAGAAAAGCAAGATTAGAAGCATTAGCAAGGAAAGTTATAGAAGATACCCTTGTACATGGTCTCCTACCCTCAGTGAGACCATCATGAGGACTGTCCAAATGTTCGTGTTAAAATGCACATAAACTGTATAAAAAATCCTTTATGCTTTCCCACCTAATAAGTCCACAGCCCAATTATCATACATTTCTCTTTTTCTGCTTATTAAATTATAAATACAAGGTTGTCATCAATGTCTGTATCTTATAGTAAGATCTTCTCTTAGTAGCACATACTTTAAAATGTTAATTATGATATAAAGGAATTGAATTAAAGTAACATTTAATATGTTAAGAATCATACCGTGTACCATATTAGAACGTTATAATTTGAATTAGGGTCTGTCCTTACTCTAAAGGAGTCTACTACCCAAAATATATGATTAATTTTTTAAAATTTTCCTAAGTCACTTCATCTATTTATTTACTTACCTGTTTTATGCCTGCTCACCCTCACCTTTTATCCTTTTACAAAAGGGTTCATCGATACATGTGACTTTTTAATGCTTCGCTTTTATGTTACTACGTTGTTTATCTGGAGCTGAGTCATGAATAATATATTATCAGGATGCCGTCTGATAGGACCGGATCTTCAGGGAGCACATGTATTTTCTGATGCCGTGATGCATACTTGAGATCTAAACCTTTGAATTCAGTGAAAAACATTAAAAGCTATTGCTCCAACTTTCTAAAGATGTGTGTTGCTTAGGATGAAGCAGAAATACATCCAGATTGTTAAGGCCCTAAGAATAACAGGCCTCCTAAAATACAGCTTAGCACAGTCCTAGTTTTATATGACAACTGAATATGTTCTTTGCGTCTCTGATATTTTAATCATAGGTTTAACATTAGACAAAATTTGGGCAGAGAAGTTGTCATTAACTTCACACTATCGATTGTGTACTAGTTGTATTTGGTAAAATTTTGATATGTTTTAGCCGCCTTATACCAAGTTTTTTAAAATCAGTTTTTCAATCAAATGACACAGTATGCTGAATAAGTACTGTGTGAAATGAGGGCAAACGACGTTTATACATGCACACAAATATTGACAGCTGCAAATTAAATATGGACTGTGGGATTATTACCTCTTATATGAAGTTCTTTTTTTTTAGATCTTTTAATCACCTGAGAAAATATTAATTTGTAATTTGTATGTATGAGAACAGTTTTCATGTGTTTATGTCTAAATTATAGTTCTCAACTATTGAGATTAGGTAAGGGATATTAGTCTTTCTATCTAATTCCTACATGGTATTTCTCAGATAGATGCATTATGTTTAGACATCTTCAAGGTATTATGAGTTTTAGAATATTTATTTGTATCCACTAATTTTCAATGTTGGGTTAGGTGTGCATTACTGTTTTGTAATGGACCGATGGCTTTTTTGTCTGTTTGTCCAAATGCCCATTACTTCTCGCTTAAGACTCTATCTGATTGGAGTAATTACTCCTCACTCTCATCAGCTCTGATTCCTAGGGCTGTAGGAGCGGCCATGATAGTGTTCTGAGTGGTAACTTCAAGGGACCCTGGTGTCTCTAGTATGCTCTACTCTGATAAGCCAGTGTCTTTGGCAAGATTCCAATCTCCTCTAACGGAGAATTTAATAAATGTGTTGTGTGTGTTAACATGTATTCGGGAAAGGGATGAAGAGTCTGTAGTAGAGGGCACCTGGGTGGCTCAGTAGGTTGAGCATCCGACTTAGGCTCAGGTTATGATCTCACAGTTCGTGGGTTCGAGCCCCGTG